TTTTTTATTTTGGGGGGGATCTAATTTTTTGAGTTCTTTGCATATTCTGAATATTAGTCCTGTGTCCAAGAAGTAGCTGACAAATTTTGTCTCCATTCTGTAGTTCTCTTTATTGGTTGTTTGATTTGTTTTGCAGAAACTTCTTAATTTGACATAATCCTAATGTTGATTCTTTTAAAAAAATTTTTTTTTGTTTTGTATCGGGAATCTAACTCAGGACCTTACACTTGCCAGGCAGGCACTGTGCCACTGAGCTATCTCCCTGGCCCCTGTGTGTTGATTCTTGATATTATTTCTTGTGCAGTTGAGGTTCTACTGAAAGTCCTTGCCTGTGCCTATATGCTCAAGATTTTTATGCATTTGATCTTCCAGCAGATTGTGTTTCTGTTTTAATATTTAGTTCTTTGATCCATTTTGCTTTCAGTTTAGCTCATGGTAAGAGGTCTAGGTCTGGATTCAATCTTCTGCATGTGGATAGCCAGTTTTCCCAGCACCATTTGTTAAAGAGGCTGTGCTTCTGGCTCCTTTATCAAAGATCAGATAACTGAATGTGTCTGGGGTCGTTTCTGCATCCTCTGTTCTGTTCCATTGATCAACACGTCTGTTTTTGTGCCAGTACCATGCTATTTTTTTTTTTTAATCACTCTAGCTTGATAATGTAACTTGAAATCCAGAATTGTGATGCCTCTTGTTTTGCTCTTGTTATCCATGATTGTTTTTGCTATTCTGGCTCTGTTCTGGTTCCATACGAATTTTAGGATTTTTTTTTTTTTTTTTTTAGCTCTATGATTGGTATTTTGATCTCAGTATTAGTTTTGGTGTTATGGCCATTTTGATAGTTTTAGTTCTGCCTCTCCAGAAGCAGGGGATGTTTTTCTATTTTCTGATGTCCTCTTCAATCTCCTTTTTCAGAGGACTAGTTTTCATTTTAGAGGTCTTTTACTTCCTTTGTTAGGTTAATTCATAAGTATTTAATTTTTCTTGAAGCTATTGTGAATGGTATTTTCCTTTTTTTTTTTGTGAATGGTATTTTCCTAATTTCTCTATTGGTGGCTTCATTATTGATTTGTAGGAATGCTGCTGATTTTGTATCCTGCTACTTGCTGAATTTATTAGTTCTAAGAATCTTTTGGTGGAATTTTTGGGTTTTTCTATGTAAAGGATTATGTCATCTGTAAATAAGGACAGTTTGACTTTTTCCTTTCTTAAACATAGCCCCTTTATTTCTTTCTCTTGCCTGATTGCTTTGGCTAAAGTTTCAAGTACTGTATCAAACAAGAGTGTTGATAGCAGACATCCTCGTCTTGTACCTGGTGTTAGAGGAAAGCTTTCAGTTTTTCCTCATTTAATATGATTTTGGCAGTGCCTTCATTATAAATACCTTTTATCAGGAATAAGATAAATTATTATATACTTATATTTATATACAATATATAT